TAGAAGAATGAATTAAATAGTTCACCATAGCTGGAGTAACTCATTTTACTAACTCTATGTTGTCGGCTTTGTTTCTTGTTTTCTGCAAGAAATAAAAAGTAAAAATTCTGCTTCAGTTCAATTTTTTTTATTAAAATTAGATGAAATCTACCTTCTTCTTCTTTTTTTATTTTTTTTATACTATAGATGAAATCCAAGTTAATCGAAAAATAAATAAAATTTAAGTAAATTTTTTTTTCATATGACTTGGCATTAAGTAATCATAACATACGTTTTAGTAAAATTTATGACAGCAGCCTTTTACTCACGCTCATGGATGTATTTTTTTTTTAATTTTCAAATAAAAGTGTATGGATGATTACCACAAAACTAGATTATCTCCTATCGAAAATGAATATTATATGATGGTTTTAGGGTTGGCGTGGGCCATGGGGATGGCTTTCTGGAGCCAGGCGATGTGATGTACTCCATAGGGTACCCTACTTCCCTTAACTGCTAATCATGCATCCACTCTTTTACCCAAAAACCCAAAGTGCAAGTGTCCCTCCTCTTGCCTTAGTCCTCCCAATGCATCATGATGTTCATGTTCCTTAGTTCCTAAAGAAAGACTATTTGTGCTCCCAATTATTATAGTTCTAAGAATTTGATTCAACGTGAACCAGCTAGATCATAAATTCAGTTACACACCTTCTCACTTGCTTTATCTTATGGACTATTTAGTGCAAAGAAGAGAAAAGAGAAAAGGAATTCTAACGGAGGAGTTTTTATTTTTATTTTTATTATATGAATTATGTTTACTACAATAAATGTTACATATAGTGACATACAAAAAGTGTCATTATACAATATATGTAGGAATGACAAATATACCCGCACTCGCGGGTATCTGCGCGTAAAATCTGCTACGGATAATAAATGGATAGGCTAATTGAGTACCCGGGAATAACGAGGACAAATAATTTTTTACCCGTTTATAAACGAGGCGGGGGCGGGCATGATGATATCCATACCCGCGGGTACCCGTTTAATAATATTTCTTAAATATTCTAATTATCTTTGTACCACATAACCCTAAAACTACACTCTCTCATCTTATTTTCTTTCTATAGAATCATGTTGAATGTAATTTGATTAATTTTCTAGCTTTGATTGGACCAATAAGATTTATGTATTTTAAGTTATTTACTTTCGTTTGGAATTATGAGATTGAATTATTGTAGCTTTGTGATGAAACTTTCACTTACTTGTATGAGATTGATGTATTTTAAGTTATTGATTATCTTGCATTTTTATTATTATTTTAACAAAATTAACATTAAATAGAAGTTCAAAATTAACATTGAATTTTTATTTTTAATATTTCAATGACATTAAATAAAAACTTAAAATTATTTGTAATATAATTTTTTAAATTAAAAAAAAAAATTATAAATATCCATGGATATTCGTGGATATTTAAGAAATTTATGGATACCCGCTTAATGGATACCCGCGCGGGTATGGGGCTAATTTTCATCCAGCGGGGCGGGGGTGGGTTTACTATTACCCGCCCCATGGGGCTCCATTGCCATCCCTAAATATATGTATGTATATGTTTATTTGAAATATAGTTATACACAATTTTAGTGTTGATTTTGAATGAGATTTAACAACATATTTTTGTGTGTCACTATAGTTTATACACACACTTTTTAATAATATACCAACATATATTGTAGTTATTGTGTGTGTAAAAGTAATTTTAGTGACATGTATAGTGTCAATATAGGGTGTGTGTCACTATATGACAATTTTGTTATAGTGGTTATTCCAAGATCGAAGTTAAGGACTACTTAAGGTTATGATATCTTTTAAAAGAATATTTTTACATATATCTCAATTATGAGTTAAACTTCACTACATATTTAAAGTATAAAGTTATTTGTTAATTATATCATTATCAAGGATTTCAAGATGAGTTTAACCCAACAAATTAACCCAAATAACTCACTAAATTGGTTGGGTTAAGTTATTCAACCCTCGTTACCCAATTCACCAACTCAACATATTAATAATGGATTAGTTTGATTTGATAGGTTGACTCATCGAGTTGGTCATTTTTTTTAATAACTTTTATCTATTGATAGAAATTTATAATATTTTATTTATGGTTCATTTGCTTATTAAAACATATTTATGATTGTTTATTTATTTTGTTATATTGATAGACCATTTATATTATAAATATAACGATCCAGCATGTTACTATTCTTATTATTGAGCAACTACTGTTTAGTAGAAGGCTAAGCAACATACGTCAAAAGTAGAATATATAATACAACGAATAATTAGTATTAAATATATATATCCTATATACAAAATACAGTACCAATTGTAAAATAAACATCGATTGGCGTCTATACAAAACTTAACTACATAAAAGTAGTCATCAACCAAAAATCTAGCCACTTTTGACGTGATTAGCCTCCAACTGCACAAGTCATGTTGTTAATTTTGTTCTGCTCTCATATCAAATATGATTTTCACAGTTTTAACTACAAGAAAAATACAGGATAAGCTTATGAAAAGAATTCATAACAACTTATGAAAACATCATCATATTGAAATAATTCAACTTACAACAGGACAATATCATCATCATAATAACTTAACATCTCACAACATGTTCAGCATATCAACATATATACACATACATCATCTAATGTATCGTCATGCATATCAACTATGAAGGTTTCCTACATCTTATGGTGAGTAATTTAAGTGGATTGACCTTACTGAATCACAACGGTTGGTATAATACCAAAAATAACGACTAATACTAAGGCAAAAAACAATGGCTAACACAAGGCTAGAAACAACGACTAACATAAGTTAGATTGATTTCTCAAGTTTCATCACTAAAACAAAGAAGTATGATACTATGTTAGAATAAAACAATTTAGGTATGAGCCTACCACAACATTAGTCTGCAACAATAAGCCACCTATGAGATTAGCCTACTAACTATCTTTCAAATATCACAACCCTCTAATACTAGGTTATATACTAATTAAGTCCACGACCCAATACTTTACTTAATTGGTCACTTTATACATGTGTTTATCAACCTTGCCCACACATGGATACCACATATGTATCTAACTCACATACCTATAGCTTATCAACTTAACAACTTTAATAACATACAACATAAACAACATACATCTTTGCATTCATTCACAACTTTGCTTAAACACCATCAGAAATCATCTTAAGCAACTAAAACAACCTAAAACTTTACAACATATTTAACTTATCACATATCAACAAATATAACCTTTTACAATACCACTTAGATAACTTGTTCATCATTCATCAGTTGTAAAACAACTTTAACAATCAATTTTTCACCATAAAGTTCATGCCCAACACCACTCATTGGGCATCCGACACCATTGAGGCAGGGAGCTCCCTACCTTGCTCATGCCCGATGTTACACCACTTGTGTCTGACATGATTGAGGTGGAGAGTGCCCTACACTCTCACGCCTGGCGTGGCAACACCTACGTTAGGCCCCAATTAGGTAGAGAGCTTTTTGCCTAACTCACACTTGGCGCCACATGCTTTAGTGCTCGACACGAACCTAGGTAGAGACGAGTCTATCTCCTCACATTCGGCGCCATTCAACCCATGCACGACGTAATTCCAACCCAAGACGAGTCTCCCTCCTCACACCTAATGCTACCAGTCTTGTGTCTAGCATGACCGATACAGAGGCCTCTCTTTGGAACCATGCATGGCGCCTTGAAGGTGCGCCTGACAAGATATTAGATTTTGCAATGTGCATAACCCGATTTCACCCAATTTCTTGAAAATCACAAATTTCCAACAAACTGCAACACAATAATCTACATATATACAATATATACCACATGATTTCACCATAAAAAATAACATGCAACTAAAAATCAATCAAAACTTAAGCATGAACCTACATGAACACCCTTGAACACACAACCCACAAAACTTGCTTAACTTCATCATTCAATCACTCAACACCTTAAATTGATTCATTCCAATCATCACCAACACATATTGCACACCTAATTCAAAATCACAACTTTTCTTACCTCTTGAAGACTCAAATTTGTAAGAGAAGAAGAGAAGGAACTTTGTATGACTCTGACTCAAATCTTTCACTTTCACAAGCTCGAATTCCAGCCCACAACCAACTAGGATTAGATGAGGAAAAGGTAGAAAAGGAAGGTTCAAGTGAGAAAGAAAGAAGGGAGAAGGAGGAGAGAATCTCTCTTTAACTTCTCTCTAACGTTCTTAAAAACTTAAGTTATGAGTTTCCTTTTAAAAAGTTCCCTTTTATATTTTTTCTAAGTCGACTCTACTTATCTCTAGTCCAATTCTTCAAAGATTAACATGTCCTTAGGGTTTCCTAGCCTCAAAACTCTCAGTAACAACTGTTAAATCAAACAACAGGATTATGAGATGACAATGTTACAATAAACTTATTTTAATTTTTCTTTCACTAACTTATTTTAATGTTGATTTACTTATTTTTTTTTACTATTGATGGACTTATTAAGCACATTGAACATTTGAAACATATAATTTGATACTAATTTTATAACATTTTTTCTTTTTTATTTATATTAAAACTTTTTAGCAAAATGATTTGAATGATTTGAAATTTTCAATCCAATAAAAAAATGTCCAAACCAACTAAGTTCATTTTTAGCAAGTTGATTTAAGCCCAATTGGTACTCTTAACCACCACCCTGTTGGTAAATTTTTTAAAAAATATTAATAAATGTGAGAAATACATATCGACTCTAATCCGGTAAAACTTTTTTTCCTAGATGGATTGAATGAATAAATTTTTATTTTTCATAAAAAATAATTTTCATTTCATGTCTGCCTTTTCCATATATATAATAAAATATAGTGATGATATTGTTGTTACAAGTTACAATTATGTTTTCCTTTGACGTAGGATCCATGTCCAAATTTTCCGGCTATTTCGGTGGCACCAAAAACGCCATGGTATGCATGAAAAAGGGGAGAGGCAGAGTTTCCTTTTAAATTTCCAGAGTGTCGTTTACCCCCATTTTTGGACACCAAATCAAATCAAATGGACACTTTGTTTTCTCTTCATCCTCGTCTTGGTGTTGGGGTTATTGCACCTCCTCCAAAACCATTTTCTTTACACTTTTCTAACCACCTAAAACAACAAACGTACTTTGGCAAATTAACCTTCACAAAACTTTTCACTTTTCACTTTTCACTAATCCAAAATTAACCCTTTGATCATCAATGGGGATATTGTATGCAATGGTTGCTAGGGGGCAGATTGTTCTGGCTGAGTTCAACGCCAGCCAAAGCAATGCTAGTTCTGTAGCCAAACAAATACTTAGCAAGATCAATCAAGGGAGTGATAACAATGATGATAGCAATGTTTCCTTTTCTCACGATCGCTATGTTTTCCATGTCAAGAGGACAGATGGACTCACCGTTCTTTGTATGGCTGATGATGCATTTGGAAGTAAGTTTCTCTCATTCATTCATTCATGCATGCATTTGTTTTTGTTTCTTTGAATAAAAATAAGTATTGATTTTTAGGTTGCTTGTTTTTGGATTGGTGAATGTGAATCTAATAATACAAAAAACTAAACAATGTTGATCCAACTGCTTTACTTTTTTGTTTTGGCCTTTTGGGGTGGTACTAATGAATTGATTCAATTGTTGCTTCTTCTTTTTTTTTTTTTTCACATCAATGCAAATGATTTCATTCATCTTATGAACAATAGAAGCTGTCAAAGTGTCTTGAATGTATTCCTGCTCCTTGCATGTACTGCAATCGTGTGTTGTTTGACATAGGTCTTAGTTTGTTAGTTGATTCAGATTTTTATTTTTTATTTTTCTGTCATAAACCACATGGCTAGGAACATCTATAATATGGTGGGGCTGGCTCTAGGTTGAAACTTGAGACTTGTTTTAGGGGAATTCCACTTGAACTAATCAAGTGGCATGTAGAATTTGATCATATATTATTGACATTTCCTTTTAGTATGTCAGACAATCTTAGGTAATAATCTTGTTTGTAGTAAACTTGTTGATCTTAAAATCGTGTTATCCCAAAATTAAAGCTCTGCTATGAGAGGCTTAAAAATGTCCAATCAAGAATGCCATATGCAAAAGTGAAAAAAACGTGGACAACTGCTATTACCAAGATACTCCCGTATGGGGCCAATTCTGCTAATGCTCCCTTCCTTAACCCAGTAATCCTCCCTTTTTATTAAGGGGAGTACAAAAGTACACTTTACAGGACAAAAGTACCCTTTACTTTCATGTTCACAAGAATCTCTTTTTGCTCATTGTTTCCCCTTGATTTAATGATCAGATTTGTTGGTTAAAACTTAGAAGAAGAGATACTAGTGGCTTTAACTGTGATAATCTAAGTTTGATTTGTTTGGTGCTTTGACTAAATAACTAAGAGCTTAAGGACTGGATTTTACACAATACATCTTACGGCTTAGTTGGTCATTTTAGTGACATCCATTGTGTTCATTCTTATCTTGGACGTACTAGTTTCCTGTAATTTTTATAGGTTTGCTGGAAAGGTATCCTTCAATCAATAACCAAAGACTAATTCCTTTCAAATTATAAAGATCAATAAAGTAGGATTTCTCTCTCCTAATAAAATTTTCTTCATACGTACAACTAAAGAATCGAACTCCTGCCAATATGCTTAAAGAACTCAACTATCTACTGACTAAATTAGATCTTATTTGTTGGTTTTATGTAATTTGTGATGCTGGAGAGCCTCCAGGCCCTCTGCCATAAATGGGAGTACTCACTCCCCCACAACATCATAAAACATGTAACTTACTTGGAGTCAACTGTAAAAAGAACATAATTTGATATATTTTTCTTCTAAAACTGTTGAAAGCTTTTATAGCAATTAAAAATCCTCAGTTACGAATGATATGACACTTCTTTGTTTACTGGTCACATTTAAACTTTCTGCAATATGGTATTTAAGTTGGTGAAATTGAAAGAATGTATGATATAATGACTGTACGGCAACATGTTGCAGGCCACAATTGAAATTCTTCTGTGTTTGTTTTTCGGAATTAAGAATAAATTATTATAAAATTTTGAATTCACAATAAAAATATTTTTGCTCGACTTGTACACTAAAGTTTGTAATTCCTAAATGAGCTGTAATGAATACCTAAATGAATCACTGCAGGAATGGTCCCTTTTGCATTTCTTGAAGATATTCATAAAAAATTTGTGAAGACCTATGGTCGAGCTATTCTTTCAGCTCCTGCCTATGCCATGAATGATGAGTTCTCAAGGGTCTTGAACCAACAGATGGACTATTACTCCAATGATCCTAATGCTGACAGATTGAACCGTCTCAAAGGAGAAATGACTCAGGCTAGTTCAAAATATACACATTTAGATTTATCTACACTTTGATCCCAGCTTGTTTGCTTGTCTATCATTGGTTCTCTTTTGGAGTTCTTGTCTGATTTTTTGATTCAAATCATTCCACTTGACCCCTGTAGATTGATCTTATAGAAACCTTTTTGTTGAATAACTTTGATTTGCCCTATGATTCTTTTGATTTTGATATGATGTGACTGATCAAACTTGAATTGCATAGTTCCAAGCGTCTCATAGTTTCTAACAAACTGTGTTGTATTTGACGTGGTAAAGTAAATTTCAGAGCAAGGTCAGATCAAGTGTGATAAGATGCATGATTATTTACTTATACGAGTCAAATGGTCTATTGTAGCAAATAATGTACAAGTTGACTGTAGAAGAACCGAACTCTTGATGAAATATACAATTGATATTCTGTTCCATTTTAATATGATTTGGAATTATTCTTAATATTAGGATCTGAAGACTAAATAGTTAAATATTTGTCATGTGAAAATGATAGGTGAGAACTGTGATGATCGACAACATTGAGAAAGTGTTGGAGAGAGGTGGGAGGTTGGAGATGCTGGTGGAGAAAACTTCAGCAATGAATAGCAACTCTATTCGTTTCAAAAGACAGTCCCGCCGTTATAAAAATAACATGTGGTGGAGTAATGTTAGGCTAATGTAAGTATAATACAATCCACATTTGTATAATTGATTTCATGTTAGGTTTTTTTTTGCATTATCATTGGACTTTTCTAGGTTTTCTTGATTGTTGTCATGAATTATATACTTTTTCTTGATTTCATGAAATATGTTATTCAAAAGATTTAAGAATCGAACAAAACTTGAATACAATATTATAGTACTGTGAGTGTTATTCTCTTACGAGAATAAAATTTTATTTTGAAAATAAATGTAATACTGAGATATTTCTGTTTAGAGAATGGTACTAAAACACCTATAATACTGCAGGTAAATTTTTTCTTTTAAGTACCATCACTTTAAAAGGCCAATCTAATTTTGAACTTAGCTCACGAAGCCAATTTCCACCCAATTTATAGAAATCTTGGGCTTTGATATCTCCTATTCTTTCTTACTACTATGATTGTACAATCAATCTTGAACATACCTTTTGACTACTTGTTCCAATTTATTTTTCTGGTACTTTTTGTGTCTTTTAATTTTCCAATTTCCACTCATTCTGCCCAGTTTGACAGCTGCTATGCTGTGCATGTCTATACTGTGGTTTGGATTCGGGAATAGAATACTTATCTTTGCCTTATCTCTCTTTCTCATGCAGGGTTGCACTTATTATTACTTCCGTCGTTGTCATTTACATTATACTCGCCTTTATCTGCCATGGTCCCTTGTTGACTTCGTGCTGGAGATAAGCTCCCAACAATTATCAATTCTATTTTACACTATTTTTTGACCAATGTACTGGTTATTAAGTTTATAATAATATATTTCTTCAGGATTTGAATCCTGATTGTAAGTAGGAAAAAAATTATATTAAAAAAATATTTATCTTGTATATGTTTACGAGATATTTGATTGAGATTAGTCACTATTTTAAATGATAAATATTTTATGATTATGAGAAAAAAAATTCAACATAATATAAGTTTTTGGATCGACCAAAAAGGAAATATAATTTATTGGTATGGAGTCATTTATCAGATGTTTACTAATTTAGGCTTTTGCGTGTTGTAGCAAGTAACTAAACACTGATTTCTTTTTCGTGTTCCCCTTGCATTCATTTGCTATTTAAATAATATTTTAAATTTGAAATGTGCCAATTCCATTTTTCCTTCATAACATCAGTCCCATTATTAAATCAAGCATTAGCTCTTGCTACTTGCTAGGATCCACCGGATACAAGATAATAAACCATCTTTATGCATATAAAAACCAAGACCATACTAAAATAACCTAGGATACATTTATCGAAAATAAATAAAAAAATACACATTGAGTAATAAAAATAAAGCTGCGAGGTTAGATTTGTATCTTTAAAAAATCACACACAGATTGCTATATAAATTTAATTAAATTGTAGATAAATCAAGTAAGATAAAATTAAAACATAAAGAAAGAACATAGGAGTGGTGGTAGTCCACAAAGGACTAGCTATTCGGTAGAAAAGAAAGTAAATGAAGACCGGAGAGAGAAATAAGTGAAAGATGAACGAATAGAAAGAGATTTTATTATTCAAGAAAGGAAAAATACAATAAACTATTTAACATATTATTAAATACAGATTTTTTTAATGTAAGTTTCACTATATAACCTAATTTTATTCTCTATCACTAAAAGCCGGCATGCAATTTACTAAATAATAATATATATGAATATAAAAAATATTTCCAACATTTCTCTATTGCAATTACTCCTTAATCACCAAACTCAAACTTAATCCATTCCTTTCAAGTTAAAATTCAACTCTAATATGCTTTCAGTTTAACTTTTTTATTGTATTATTGATTTTTTTTTTGGTAAATCACATATCTTCTAGCAAAAAATTAAGAACTAATTCCTTAAAATTAAAATTCAACTCTTTTACTTTCACTTTAACTTTTTTATTGTATTATTGAATATTGTTTTTCCGGTAAATCACTTATCTTCTGGACTTATTCTTTAAGATAATGAAATTCATTTAAGATATGACCTCTTCCAAAAATACAAAAAAAAAAAATTTCACACACATAACCGACAGATAAAACTTTTAACATACTTATTTAGTATGTACTGTATTATTCAATACACATCCAAATTTTTAAAAATAATAGTGACACCTAAACTTCTAACTAGACTATTTAAACCCAAAAAAAAAAAAAAAAAAAACTATAACGCCCATCGACGTTGAATCCCATAAAAGTGTTTAAATTTGAACATACTTAAATTATGTTAAAAGTTTGACGTTGACGTTGTTCCTGATCAACTAATAGAAACTAACAAATTACAATTATTATTGAAATCCATGATTTCGTTTGCATTGTACAGATTCAACAAATGAATGACGTTTGCCCAATGCTCAACAGTAAGTCAATATATATACGTGTGAATATCAAAAGAAATACGTTAATATATATATAATTGTGTACTCCCTAAATACAGAACCATCGAGAAGGGAAAAATATTGAACCTTTACAACTTGGTGAATCAAGGAAAGCCTATCTAATTAAATTCATCGACGGTGAGCCAATCATTTGACTCATCTTCTGAGTCCTTACCTTTTAAACGTATAGCCGCCTTCTTCCTGCCATCTCTTCCAGAATTTTCATGCAGCTGAATCCAGTCACTGGAACCTTCAGGTGATGAACCCCTGATGTCGTGTGTCTCCCTATAGCCTGATAATTTATCAGAGCTATAACTCACATCATCCTCTAGATCACTGAATGAGACGTCCTCTTCCTGCTGAGGAAGTCAATGAAGTAGCATCAATATCTGTATCTTCCAACCATTTTTCAGAGCTAATCGTGTCATCAACTTCTAAGCCCTCTACTGCATTTGTAACCTCAGTCAAAATCTGACTTTGCTCAAATGGGATACTTTCACTTCCACGGTCCTCGCTACCCTCTTGACATGTATCCACAGTCCTTGGTTTTTCACGTTCTCCAGCTTGAGAATTTTTCTTTTCTCCAAGTTTCTGAAGAAGCACATTTCTTGCTTCAACAATCTAACCGGAAAAAAAAGGGGGCAAAACATATGGCAGTCATTAGAGACTGTTGCCACCGAAACATATATAGAGTAAAAAATATAATTATCTACAAAATTTGTCTTCAACCACATAATTGTTGGGTGCAATAGACCAAACAATCTGAAAATATTTATAGAACCTAAACAACACATCTAGAGAGAATGTCATAAGATAAACAAAGATAAATGCTAAAACTACGGAAGAAACTTCTGGCCATGACATATGATAATTTATCAAAAAGATGACCAGATCATGCTGAGACTGGCAGTGCAGCAGATAATTTATCATATACAACATATGCATTATAGGGGGAATAGAGGATCACTTCAATTAAGCACATATAAAATTAGAAATAGAATTAAGTATAATTTGTATTAGTGCTCCTTATTCTCGTCTATAACAAGTTCTTTTTATTCCTGATGAGTGAACTACAGATAACACGTTTATAGAGTATATATCGACTGATCTGACTAGCATGCATGAATAACCTTCACATAAATACAAGGTCTACAGTAAACTTCAATAAGCAAATCAACTGCATTAATATCAAAGGAATTTAGCACATACTTGGCCTTGCTATTCGAGTGAATCAATTGAAAATAAGACAAAATTGGATAAACATGACTTGCCTTGGGGGTTGATAGACACTCAAAATCATGCTGGCTTAGTCTTGGAAGTATTAGCAAAAAATAGATCATCCAAAACTTCTCCACATTCATGTAACTGCATAGATTCAGTCTAAGTTCAACAAAATCAGGTACCAGCCGTTCTATAGCCAATACATGTTCTCTCTGAGAAATGGACATGCTAAACTCTGCTGCAACAAGTCACTTTCAGTATTAAAGTTTGTCAATCTCAATATATACTCAAAAATAAAAATAAAAGAAAAAGTGTTATTTTGGTTTCTTGAACTCGTGTTATGTAAAAAATAAAGATTCTAAACCACCTTTATTCAAAGAAAATTAGTTTGAGTTAAACAAGATATATGCTAAGAAGGACACATGCACTTTGGACTTTATGTTGACTGGGAGGGTGAACTAGCTTCACAGGATTAATTTCTTCGAAAAAAGCAATGCCAAATGAGCACTGAAGCAGTTGTTCATAGAACTAACCCCCAACATAATTATAAGATGTTAATTCCCAGGATTACTATATTCGAAATCAAAATGACATGCAGCTCAGATGTCAGACATCTAATATTAGCTAAATAAACTGCATTTAGTCATATAGCAGCAACAGCTTTACAGTAAACTTGGTCATGCCAAACAAAGTATGTACACAAGCAAAAATTGGAATTTTCCATGATGTATGACAGAATGAGTGAAATGATGCTTCCATGCTTTCTAAAAATTGTTAGAGCCTTAGATATTAACATCGTGACTTGTGAGATTAGCTGATAAATAACAAATGCATCCAAAGCCAAGTATAATGAAGAAAATGCAAAAAAAAAAAAAAAAAAAAGTCACGTCCTTAATGCTCCTTTGTCTCGTATAATTTGTCTTTTTAAGGTAATGTACACTTCTTAAGAAATTTATTAATTACAAATATTATTACTATCATAAAGTGACTTCCTTTAACAAAATTATTAAAAGAGTTAGTAGTTGTGAATTCAATTAAGTATTTAACTGAGATAAAAATAAATGAGGGTATCACTGGAAAAAATAATTAATAATACCCTCTTGATTTTCTAAATTGACAAATATTATGAAACGAATTAGAGCACTCAAAAAGACATACTATATAACATGAGACGGAGAAATAAAAATCATTAAAATAGACATCCCATTTATTCTAGGATAGTCTTTGAATTGACTGTAATCTCTTCTCATGCAACATCATTACCATGCCAAACATAGAAATTCAACAGTCCTCCTAGAAATCTAATCCACTCTAGACTTATCTAAGGGGGCTTTTCTTTCTCCACCAAATTTGACAAAGAAAAATGTGATGGACCATAAAATGATGCATCCAAGACCCACTCAGTGAATCTTTCAGATATAAAGAAAATAGTAGAACTATTTAAGTATGAAAAAGTTTAGGAAGATGGGAGGCCATCCCATTCTACAATCAGGGTATGCCATAGCCTTAACAAAAAAGCTCAGAGGTACTTATAATTATAAATGACCTACCGCAGACCAAGGATTACATCTACCAGCAGGA